CGAATGAACCAGAGAAACAACTAAATCAAGAACTTGATGCCAACATATGACTAACAGTGTAAATTTTCAACATCATGCAAATTTCCCTTCGCAATATTCCAAATTGATAACAGTATCTCGCAATAGTGATCTTTCACTAAAATTTTTTTGCGGAATCCTAATCGAGCCCTATCAATAGTGAATTTTTGCATTTTTGATATTGTTCAAATTAAACTTTTGAATTAGCATTGCTCATCGTCACTTTCATGAAAGAATCTTGAGATCGTCACTCATTTTTAGAAGGTCATCGCCCAACGGCAAGTTGGTTTCTGCTTTTTCGCTTTGGTGATTCGTCAGCGAATTCGTGATATTTTTTCGTCAACGCAAATTTTATTCCCAATTAGATTTGTCGCAATCTACGGCACATGCCTTTCATTAAGTTATGCTACATCAACTAATGAGTTAGAGGCAACCGTGAAATTGCGCATTATGTTAAATTCCTTATTGTCTTGGAGCATTCTCAGGACAATGTCAGGGGATCACTATGAAGAAATCGGTCCGATGCGGAGGACCCAGCAGGCTAGAGGAGGACCAGATCCATTCCAACCGCCTGATTATCTAATGCTGCCGCAATCACCCGCTGGACCAGCACATGAAGACAACCATTACGAAGCAATCGCTAATTTTAATGATCCTCAATATTTTTCACCTCGTTAGTTCGATGTTATTCTTATCTTACGTCTGCATTGATGATCACATTGTTAATAGCATTTCTATAGTTTCTAGAAACTTATATCGCACTTATCCGAATCACTATCAACGTAAACGATTCAATCCTTATCAAATTGTTTCCCCAATTCAGTTTTGCACATGTCTCGATGTTGTCAACTGTTGAATATGGTACAGTTTTCCTTCTCACTCGATAATTCAAATTTCCAAATCTTAGTTTCACTTCCATGTCTGATTCTGGCGTTGATCATGGATTGCACGATTGCATGATCTTAGCTGATGTTTTAGCACCAAAACGAGAAGAAGCAGCAACACCTACGAAAGCCGGTCAAAAATGGACTGAGAGTACCAGAGATGTGCGCGATTCATTGGTTTAACTATTTTCTCGATATGTTATGTAGTCATTGCGTGATCCTTGACAACGATNTCCATCGGATATCATTTGCCATTTCTAAACGTGGAATTTCGCTCTAATTACAACGTTTCATCACCTGTTTATAGTAGAATTTCAATGAAATTATGTAGTCTAGTTCCGAAAGTTAATACATTCCCGACCTAAAGAAAAATATTCGGCGCAGTATTTGATCGTCAGGTATTCTCCGATCTCAAAAAAGCTTCAAAACGTGTTTCAGGTTACCTTAACGGATACCGAGAGAACAGTGCGACAAGAATCTGCGAAGAAAAGTGAGGCAACTTAAAATAACATCTTCAGTTTCAAATTCATCCACCATCTTTGTCAAACCCAATTCATCGGCTTCAACTTCAAGGAAATATCCTCATTAAACAGGGAAAACCATTTGAAACAGTATACTGCGAAAGAAGGAAGCCCGGCTGTTTTTTTTCCTATAGCATGAACGTTTCCAAGGCGCTATACTGCGCAACTAGATGACTGAATAGTGCTGACTCATTAAGAACCTTGCAACACAGATATCTGAAGCACTGAGCAGTGTCCGTCCACTCAGGCTAAGGTTTCGGCTTAGGCGCAAGTTGTCGCTTAGACTTCGGCTTAGAGTTTGATTGTTTTTTTTGGCAAGGTCGTTTTCTTTTGATCCGTTCCTCTATGAAAATCTTTGCGATGCTGTTAGCTCTAATTTGATGCTAACTCATTAATGAGGCATTGTTTGATGTTTAGGAAAGACGCGAAGGAAGATACCGTTATGGACGTATTTAACGGTCACAATGTTGATGCTAGTAATCAATGTTGTATGCACAATGTTATTTGTGCGTGGTGTGAGATCTGGTTGGTTCGTTCTAGACTGAGAGTGGATCGAATGAAATCTCGGTCACGTTCACGACATCGTGAAGATCAATCGAATTACAGTCACAATCAGTTTTGCAGTTTTTAATTGCTCAGTTATATTGGTCTATGATTGAAATAAAACTTTTTGAAATGTTCCCTTGTACGCGATTCTCAATGAAGTTTTATTAAGGTGAATTTAAATGTAAAGTTTTTTGCATGCTTTTTTCCACCAAGAAATGTTCATTTTCAGTGATGTACTGATGGTTTTTACTAATGTTTTTTTTGTGTTAAAATGATCCACTGATAAAAATCAGCTTTTGTGATTACATTTGTTGTAAGTAGCTAATTGTAATGTTTCGTTGATGAAAATGAAAAGTTTTCATTATTTGCTTATAATGATCTTGTTTTCGCTATGTACATTATACCAATTGCATTTTACTGGTTGTATTAATTGATGTTTTCTTATTCTCTCAATCAGTTGCGTTCCATTATTCCACTTTGGTATTTGCTTATGCGGTGCTTAATTACGTTCCATTTTTACGCCGTCATCTTTTTATCCACTGTTATCAGCTCAAAAATATCTTATGAATTGGAACATCACTCGATTTCGAGCAAAGTTTCGCACACGATCGGAACCATACTTTTTCGTATGACTCCTTTCCTACAGATACTACATTTTTGTTGAATTAATGACCGTATTCGTTTATTGCTTAGTATTACCCTGAGGGAGGACAATGCGAAGGTCACACATTCACAGGGATCGGAAAATCCTTCTGCATCTAATCTCCAAGCCATCATCGTCGAACACCCGATCTGCTCATAGTTACGACTGGGCATCAAGATTCTCTACCATTTAGGCAGTTCAGCAACCAATTCCATGTAGTCTATAAAACCATTTTCGTTCTGTCATCCGTTTGCTTCTGCGCAAATCTTCATCCCACCTCAGTTTTCAGAACTCACGCATAAATTGGGCATTTATTAGGGTGACATACTTCTTACTATTAGAGTTTAAGAATTTTCAAGTTCCCAATTCAGAACAATGTGCTTCTATGGATAAGAACGGACCCACGCAAAACTTCACTCCAAAATAATTAATTTGAAAGTGGCTAGGTCAACATTTTTTTCCTTCCGTCGCCATAGTGCGTGAGTTTCGGATTTTCGCTAAACCTCCATAAGGAAGACCGAACACGACAGGAAATAAACTAATCAAGGGTGAAATTTGCAGCTCTGCTCAAGAGACAATGAGTAAAGGTCATTTGAAACGACTGAAAGTTCTCCGGAAGATTAACGAACTCAGACGTTCAAAAACCGTGGAGGATGACAAGGAAAACAGTTTCTCTCAAAGCAGAACAAAACGACAAATTGAGCGTAAAAAAGAAACTGACGTGAAAAAGTCGAAAAAATCCGCAAACAATTGCAAAGCTGCGAAGAAGGCGGAATATGTTAGCAATTTTTTGGTTTCCGGTTAATCAATGGTCTTCGATAACACTGAATCTAACCATGATCAATTTTCTAACTTCTAATAAACAATCAGTGACTTAGCGACATTTGTTCCACATAAGTTTACTTGAGGCGTGCAGGACTGACATATAAAACATGAGATCGAATGCTCTGAACATGAACGAATCTCCTCTGATAATGACAAATCTCGAATTCATGTTCAGAGCATTCGAAAGTTAGATCGGAATGGTCTCTTTGTGATCTTATTTCACTTGCTGAAGATAAGAGCTGATCTAGCCCACATTATCAATCCCTTAGTCCTATGAACAGTAAAATTTCTAGACAGCTTTAGGGCATCTGAACCTAACCATTTCTTCGTTTTGGGTTAATTGTCATGCAAGTACCAACCAGTTTAATGAACCCGCTCCCCATATTTTTGACTGATTGTGAGGTTGATTAGAACCTTGAAGTATCCATTTTGTGAATGTAATTCCTGCGAGTTTGCACACTAAAGCGATCGCACTTTTCCGCATAGCGATGGTTAAAGCATAAACATGGACATAGCGAATGTGGCAAATGGTTTAGATAAAATATGGATGTGGCAACTCATCCACTCATCCTTTATTATATTCAAAAATTTATAATTTTTGATTATTTATTTTTTTCTAACCGAAAGGGAGATGTGAAGGGGCCCGTATCACTGGTTTCTGCTTCGTTAGTAAAGCTTCAACGTCCATAATGAGCTGTAAAGTTTCATGTGCTTCACTTAGAGTCTGTCATGCCTCGTTAATCATGTAATAATTCATTGAATTTAATATTTCAGATTGAGATGGGTGAAACAGGCGGTCATGGTGGTGTTGAAAGGTGTAAATCGAAACGTGTCATAAAAGCAATTGTTTATGGGAATACGGCTGTCCATTTGGGAAAAAAACTGGACAACGACCATACCCATGAATGGACCGTTTTCGTGAGGCCTTATCATAACGAAGATCCATCGAAATTCATCCGAAAGGTTCAATTCAGATTGCACGACTCATACGCCAATCCAACCAGAGGTTTTTTCTTAATTTTCTTTCTCTTCTGTCACATTTCTCATCGATTCCTCCTGAACTCTCAACAATTATTCACATTTTTTCGCAGTTCCATCGTTTATAGCACTATGACTTTGATTAGATAATATAATTGACGATTATTGTGTAGACGAGGTTTATGTAATTCCGATCACTAAGCATTCTTGATCGTTGCAAAGGCATCAAGCAATCGAATGTGTCATGTGCACGGAGTTTTCAGTAGTCGGAAAGGTCAGCTTACAATCTCACATCATGAGAACGAACTAGATTGATGCTTGTTTGAGTTGCTCAGGGCATGGTTAACTTAATGCTTTCATGTAAAGTGAAAGCTAATTGGTTAATATCTTTGGCAGTTAATCTGCAAGATTGATTAAGTGGTGTAAACTTTTGAAATCTTATGATTTCAGTGGTAGAAAAGCCGCCGTTCGAGGTCACGGAGACTGGTTGGGGTGAATTTGAAGTGCAAATTCGAATTTATTTCATTGATGTGAGCGAAAAGCCGGTAAGTGATATTCTCATTCAGTGATAATCAATGTTACAATTATTATTATTTCTTGTGTGTTGGGGTGATAGTTTTGAATGATTTAATATTCCGTTTTCCCACTTCAGTTTTTCCACTGGATTCGTTTGTACTTTTCTTCACATTTCGTGAAGCAATTGCATAAGTTGACATTTGAAATTACGATGAAACATGGCTCAGGAATAAGATAATTTCACCCCGTAAATTTAAGTTTGATTTTAAAATTTGCACAGAAATCGATTTAGGTGATTCTAATCGTGGCTCGTTTTTCACTAATAGTTCTTGAAATTGTTTTTAGATAACTGCATTTCATTATCTTCGATTATTTCAACCGCAGGCAACGTTACCGAATGGAAAGACAATCGTTGCAGCCGAATATTATGATGAAATCGTTCGTTCTTATTGTATATCTTTTGAACCTCAAATAATTAGATTGAATGGTGATTTTTCCCGTCTCTCTAGATTACGTGACATGTGTTCGTTTGAAAATGTTTTGTAAATATGTCATTTAATTAGTTCATTTTTAAGGTGTTTCAAGAGCCGACGGTGACAATGTACAAAGCGTTGGTGGGTTCTGAGGGTCGAAAATGCGATCCAAAAAGATTTTACACTGATTGTAAGTTTCAATTCTTTGTAATTCATTCATTCATAGTTAAGTCTGTTTTACATTGATATTTTATCAAATGACGAGAATGGATAGAAAAGAATTCAATTTATACTTTCTTAGTGAACTGCGCAACGAATTCTCTCGTAGGATTTGAATTCTATCTTCTGACTTTGTTTGTAGTAATTATCTTCGAACTTTAATTGTTATTAAATATTGTTCAGTGAAAAATGGTTTCAGTTGTTCACGTTCGGAAACGTACTCTGGAAATGATCACAAATGCAAGAACCGAGATTGGTAAAGAAATCGACGATTTGAGGGAATCACTGAAAGATGCACATAAGTTGATTCAAAAGTACCGAGCTGAAGTGGAGAATCTCGAAAGTGCAGCTGCATCAACTCCTGCGCCTGTTTCTTTTTCTGTTGGAGATGGCAAACCCGAATAGATCTGAAATTTAAAGATAACTAACCGAGAATTAATCTCGAGTTAATTGCTAGGAAGAAATACGTGCAGGAATGATGATGCTAAAACATTCATAATGCAATATTTGAAGTTTTGGTGTATGATGGAATTGATTCTGTGGGCAGTGAACGTGTTTTGGTCATCTGAATTCCGTGAATGAAATTTGCTCTGATTCCTTTCAGCATGAATAATATTCTAAGATGTATTTTATTTTCATTACTTCATTATTTTTCTCTTTCATCTACTTGAGCTTTTTTCGATAATTTGCTGCTTTGTTTTTTCGATGTCTCCTCCATTTTTGTCTCGTCTACCGTCATCTTATTGTTAGATTGCGTATCCTAATAATGTTTTAGCTGAATGTTTGAAAATTTTCAAATTCATTCATCTTTTTGTACATATTGTTGAGTGTGATGTTTGTTATTGAAGACGTGAGAGTGATGACATTCATCTGTATATAAATTGTGAATCAGTCAGATTGCTCGAATATTTTAGTATTAAAATGTTGTATAGTTGAAGGAGATTGTTTCGCAAATTTTGGTGTGAAGCTGAATCTCAGAGTTCGAAACAGGTGTATGCTTAGGTGTCTTTATGCATAAACTTTATACAAGAAGGTTGATCACACGTTCCTTCTTCCAAATGTGATAGTGTTCAGTGAGTAGGCTTTAGTCTGAACGATTGATTGAATGTTAATGAGGGTTGAACATAACTGACATTAGAAGTGAATAAGCTGTTTTCCTCAGTGTTGGGCAATAGCGCGCTATTCCGCTAGTCCGCTAATAGCGAATAGCGGAATAGCGATATCGGAAGTTTGAGTGAATAG